ACAGGGACTGGGCCCCTCCTCCTGGCAGAGCGAAGCCTCTTTCTCTGTTGGCTTCAGTGCAGAGGTACAGGGTCTCCACCCACGGGGAACCTGCCCTCACACCTAAAGCCCAGGGTTCATGTCTAACGCAGACCCCCTCCAGTGTCCGACACAGCATGACCTCTGTTGGTTATGGGCACGGGTCCTGGGGATCAGGGGTTTTGTGAGTGCATGGGGCCTCATCTGGCCCATGGGAGTTGCTGGGGGTCCTACACTTTCTGGGCTGCCTTCCCATTTTGTACAGTTAAAAAAGAAGTCTGGACAGGCCTTCAAAGGCAGAGTCTTGCTGAGGAGAAAGAACATGGTGGTTGAGCTCTCAGTGTGTTTAAAATGTTTAAAAACTAGGTATCCCTCAGGCAACCCCTGTCTCCTGGCAGATGACAAGTAAACCCTGTTGTCTGACCCCTGCTTCTGGAATACTTCTGTCTGGTTCTGCTTCCCTGTACCAGGGCCAGGTGGCAGAGCAGTGGCTGCCCCTGCTGGGTCTCTGGTCATGTGGATACTTGGCCACACTGTGGCACCTCCTGCCTGAAAGTTATCTGGCCTGGTCGCTGGCCATGGAACTGAGTCGCAGAACTGCATAGCACAGTCCTTTGCAAAAACTGTGAGCTACCAGACCTTGGAAATCAACCCCTCTGCGGCCACAGTGGGGCCAGCCAGGGTCTCTGGTGCCCTTCGTCAGCAGCATTGACTAGAGATCTTGTTCTTAGCACCCTTGAGCAAGGGGGTGTGAGAGAGGCTGGCCCTGTGAGAGGCACTTCCTCCTCGGCCTCCAGGACCCTGTGGGTGGCACCAGAGGCCCCAGGTCCACCCTGCTCCAACCACCTGCTCCATACAGAGGGAGCGAGTGTCCCCAGTCATTCTTCCCCAGACCTCACTGCTGCAGTCCTCTGCCACCCCGAAGCCTCTGCACTTCCTGCGTTTTCTTCTTTGGGGCTTAGTGTGAGGTGAGTAGGAAACCCCTTGTAGAGACCAGCTCTGTGTCAGGTGACTCCTCATCTCATCTTCAGGGCATCAAGCCAGCCAGTTTTGAGAAAGTGCACGACCCAGAAATCAAGGAGATTATTGGGGAGTGTATCTGCAAGAACAAAGAGGAGAGGTGAGTCCCCAGTGGCACTGGGTCTGGGGCATTTCTCGCGCGGAGTCTTTCCAGCTGCCCTGCAGAGGGCTTTGGGAGACGGGTTCTCCAGGCCACTGGCACCCAGGTGCCAGCAAGTTGACTGGGCGGTCAGTGGGAAGCGCCTGGAATACATACACTCCTTGACTTTAGGGACTGTCCCGGAGCCCCCTTCTCTCCTTTGCTGGCTGCTTCCCACCCACCTAGCCCGGAGCAAGGAGGTTCCTGGGTCCTCTCTCTGCCCCTTCTTGCTTTTTCTGTGTTGTCCCTGGTGGACCCATCCATTTCCCCAGCTTGCAGGACACTCCAGTGCCCAGCCTCCCAGATGGGGCTCATCTTGCCTTCGCCCCTGAACTCCAGGCTGCGTAGTCCATGCACCTGTGTCTGACCTGTCCCAAACCATCCTGCAGGTTATCATGTTCAAGTCAGAGATGCCGGCAAAACCAGCCCCGCCTCCTCAGGTGGTCAGGGCCTCCCCTTCCTCAGCTGGTCAGCCAGAAAACTAGCATGTGCTTTGAGCTTTCCTCCTCCCCCCTCCCCCCTCCTCCCTTTC